GCAGATTATAAAGTCACAATAAAACATGTAAAATTTTTCATTACTATTACCCGCACTTTGATACATTAAAATTTTGCTCGAAAGAGCATACATAAGCAGTACTAGTTTGATAGCATAACGGCTCTATGAGTAGTGTAGTCACTTAAACCTAGAGTCGGGGTACATAGCATAGATCCTAATGACATAGTAAGGTAAGTCTATCCCTAACACTCTATGGAGTGTCCTAACATAGTGGAGAGATCATATGCCGAAGTGTTGAGCCAAGAATTGAGCTATCTCAGTCATGTCTCCAATGACCTCATCCCTCTCATGCTCAGCTCGCACTACACGTGCTTCCATGGCGAACAGCTGTTGCCGCAGGGCGGCAATCTCAGCTTCGGGGGAGCAATTCTCCCTTGCGGGATTCACTGGTGGGGCGGGGTGGTCCTATTGCGCCTCGCTGATAGAGGATGTGGTTTGATCTTTGCCCGAGTCTTGTTCTTTCTCCATGTCATCATCGGCCTCGTCGAACTCGTAGTCGGTGTCTATGTACTCGTCAGGCCCGACGTTGTGTGCTTCCCCTTGATTCCCTTTAGGTTCATCTTCAAGCATCCCGTGAGCCACTAAGACTTGATGACACTGAATGCCCTGCTGCACTCCTTCCATGAAGACTGGGAGGAGGTATACGAATAAACTATCATTACTCCTATGACTCTACAACTATTGCATAGATTGAGTTGAGGTTCTCTTCTTGGGGGTAAGGGGGTATGTTTTTAGGTTCCCTAGTCATCACAATTTCCTCGGGACATGTTATAGTTGTACCTTGGAGGAAATGTAGTTGATCAGGCTACATCCACTCCTTGATACGACTAAGAACAGTCCTGGCTTAACCGAGATACTAGCATTATCTTGTTCGGTTTGGTATTATGTTCTTTTTCCTAATACAAGTAAGGGTGTTTTTATTGTTATGTTTTACTTGTTTTGTTCAGAGTTGTGTTAGTCCCTCTTTTTGGTTTATAGTTACATATCAATGTGTGGTTAGATATGCTAGTTCACTATAAACAGAGCTATGATACCAACCAGTGACACCCCCGAACCGAATGGCGGAAACATCCGAGGGCTCTTGTGACTCAAATTGAATACCATCACAATGAATATACATGAATCATAATACAAATCATCACCATGCAATGGAATATTACAACTGATATTGTTTACATTTAGTACATTGTTTTAAACATTACAATTCCATAACATAGACTGTCTGGTAGATAATTTAAGTAAAACACCATGACATTTCCTGATACATATTCTTTGGATTACCTGTTACCTGAGAATACAAGTTATTTTGCAAAAAACGTCAACATATGAAATGTTGGTGAGTTCATAAGTAATGTTATGGAAAAATGATTTTTGTGAAGTTTGAAAAACCCTGAAAATCCGATATTTTCTGAAAAGAGTATTTGTTTATAAAAAGTGTGAAGATCCGTAAATATGCTTGTCGATTTTGAAAACATGTATAATTGTTGAACTTTGTATACATCACATAGGTGAAAATGTTGAACTTTCCGGGAAAACCCGATCCCAATACACAATTTACATGACTTGTTTATTGTTATACCGATACGACGAATGTTTTTGATTACCCAGGTGACATTGGATTAACTAGGGTTTGTGAGTTGTTACAATCACGCATTAATGAAAATGACTAGTTTATAACTATAGGTTATGAACGATCCTTAAGGCATCGTCCGTACTACTCACATAATCCAACCACCCTGACTTCTCTTGATTAACGCCACGAATCTGTTTACTTGAATTCTCATAAGTTGGTCAACCGAGGAGAAAGGAGGGTACGAAGCCCCTTTTATTTCCATAAGTTATTCAAGGCTATCGGGAATGCGAAAGGCACTTGGCCCAACTCGCATTTGACTTCTTGACCTCACTAGTAGTACTAATGGACCATTAGGGCCCAATAGCATAATAGAGCTATTGAAAGTCCTTTTACATGGAATTTGGTTATAGGAGGCCCATTAACATGTAATTGTGTTCCCTTCGGGCCCAAAGATCAGGTTATTGGGCTAGCAAGGCCCAACAAGCATGATTTGAAACTTTCAAGCCCAAAGTTTGAATATTGACTCATCATAGTTATCGCGTGTTTATTGAAATACTTTGGTTTATTGATTTTTGTTTTGTTATTAATTCGAGACCGAATCAATTCGTTTAGTAACGATATTTGTTGTTGTGAGTGTATTTGTTTTTCCGTTTCGTCGGTAGTCATGAATCATGTATTTTGTTTTAGTGAATTAATTTGTTTAAAAGTAAGATTTTTACCTTTTCACAACCTTTCTTTTATAAAAATAGCACTTTTAGTCCTTTATATAAAAGAATTTCATTTTAGTCCATAACACATTATTTTGACACTTTTGTATCATAAGCTTGTTGAAAAGACATTCTTAACCCAAATTTATTTTGTAAACAACTTTAGCCCTTCCATAGTGATGTTTTATCGGTTAAAACCCCCAGTTTCGCAACTTTTACAGTTTTGGCCCAAAATAGAAAAAATTTATGTTTTTGATCCTTTTTGAATTTGAAAAGCATTTTTGACCTTTGAAATAGTTTTAATACACTTCAAATCCCCTGCTTTACAGAAATTTGCATTTTCAGCCCCTCAAACTTAGAAATCTCGCATTTTGAGGCTTATTGGGCCGAAAAGCCCAAATCTAGCCCATTAGGTTCAAAATTTACACTTTAGGTCCCTTAAAAATGTTGTTGTTCAGAGAAATTATTATAGAAACTATTTGGAACCTTTTGACCCTCCTGAAACTATAAATTTGTCGGTTTGTACCCTAAGTTTTGTATTTTTGACATTTTAAGCCCTAAAATGTGTTTTATGTTAGGATATGTTCACCCTAACCTCATAAACTATTTTTGTTGACTTGATTAGTGTATAATAAATTAAGATATGTTTATTTCCTTTCTCATGCCTTAGATCTCCGATTTTACACACTTTTTGATAACATATTCATCACAAAACACATGATATCACACACATACATGCATCAAATCACACATAACATACATTTACACATAAATCTACACATTTACTTGTATTCTCCCCCATAAAACTCATAAAAACCAAAAAGGAAGGGGTATGAAACTCACCTTGGGTGTGGTTTCGGTTTTGGAAGGAAAAGATGAAGAAGAATTCGATCTTAGCCACCTTTCTTGGAGGATCTCGAACTTGGATGCTTCTAAGGTGCAAGATCATGAGTTTAAATGAATTAAGAGATGGTTCTTAAATAAAATGAAATAGCTAGATTACGGATCTAACATCAACTTACCTTAGATGATGTGTTTATGGGTTAAATCTCCTTGAAAGCTTCCTTAATCTCGAAAATATGGAGAGGAGTGGAGAGACTTTTCTTGAGAGAATTGTGAGTCAAGTGTGTGTGTGTTTGTTTGGATTCGGCCGAGAGGGAGAGAAGGAGAAGAAGAAAGAGTGAGCTTGCATGGAAATATGAGAAGTGCATGGATGTTTGAAGTGTAATGCCTAGTTATCCCCCATACAAAAATGATGTGGCATGCAAGAAGTCAACTCTTCCCTTTCTCTTGGGCTTGGACCGAGATTTGCAGAGAAAAAGGAAGAAATTAGGCCCTTAAATGCCTAAGTCCAAATCATAGCTAATTTAGATAACTATTGGCCCAAAATAAATCAAGTAATGATTTTTATGGCCCATTAGTGCTAATTAGGTTAGTTATGGCCCAATGGGGTTCATTTAAATATTTTGTTTCATTCTAGGCCCAATATGGCCCAAAATATTAAAATAAATGAAAGTGGGTCCAATTAGAGCCCATTTAAGAGCTCTAAGCCCATGATATTCCAATTAGAAGCTTATTGGTCCATTGGGCCCAATAAGGAAGTCCTAGTCCAAAATGGACTTAAACAAGGACTTCTAGGGTTTCCAATTATTTGTTGACTATTTGTAGTTCTTGTATGAAGTGTTTGATTGAAATTCTATTGTCATTGAGTAAGCATCATGCATGCTTTCATGTTTTTGATTCATAGTTGACATAAGTGTTGTAGTTACAAGGCACCAAAAATTTCTAATTGTGACAGTAAAAATCATATTGAAGTCACAAATTGCCAACACGTTTTGGTAGCAATCTCCCTTTCCACTACTTCTATATAAGTCTTGTTTCTTAGTAGGGACAACAGCATGTATCAAAGTGCCATCAAGTGCACCAACTGCTCCTTTGAAAACCCTTTGTAGCCTCCTATTATGTCCTGCAATGTTATATTCAGATTAAAAGATGTTGGTACTATAACATCTTGTGCGAAAAGCATCATTTTTTCCAACACTTAATAAAAAAAATTATGAATTGTTTGCTTCGAGTGTTGAAATCTCCGCATGATAATCACGTAACGTTGATTATGGCTGATCATCATAAAAAACATAGCCATCTTTTCTTCAACTGATACATGTTTGCTGTCCTTTAATGAGTAATTTGCTCTAAAATGAGCACATAGTCGTACAAAAGATTCACGGGACATGCGTAATACTTCAACACATTGTAAACGATTACGGTGCAATAACTCCAATGTGTATTCATGTCCCTTCATTTCCGAATCATTATCCCACAATCGTTTCACACCCCTCTTCCAAAAATAACGGATGTATAGGTACATAAGAATTACGAGAAGTTACTTTTGATCGTGATCCATATGAACCTAAAATCAATAAAGTAGAACTTTAAAAAACATTACATAAACCATATTTCAAGTAGCAAAAAAACATTTCATAAACCATATTTCAAGTATCAAATAAAAATTCCATTGATCATATTTCAAGTACCAAAATAACATTACATAAACCATATTCCAAGTAGCAAAATAACAAAAAATAGTTCCAACAAGGGCAAAAAGACCTAACAAAATAGTTCCAACAAAGGCAAAAACCTTTAACAAAGTAGTTCCAACAAAGCAAAAATACATAACAAATAGTTTTAACACTAGAAAATCATCGAAAAATATTTCCACCCTTCAAAATTCCTAAACTAGTACCCATCATCTCAATCCACCCTCGTAATATCTCGGGAACATCGGGTAAATGCATCCACATCTCTCTCATGTTCATGGTTCCTCCAAAAATATGATATGTGACAAAGCGTAAAGGATCTGTATGGCCTAACTGAAGGACCTCTAACTTCTCTAAATACTGAGGAATTGTATACCCTTTAGTCAAACTTTGTAGAGCTTTCTTCATTTCAAATGCTAAATCGTTAGCAGTAATAGAACTTCCATCAGGTAAAGAAGCAGATGGTGAGGCACTAGGAGCTACAGGAGTTGAGGGTTTAGCCCTTTTGTTGGGGTTACCGGATGGTATACAGTATATGGTGAAGCAGCAGAAGGTGAAGCTGCAGAAGGTGAAGCAGCAGAAGGTGGTGGCTCATGATGAGAAGTGTCAACACCATCATCATCTATTGCATCAAAAGGGGTGGTGGTGATCTGAAGTCGTGGAACACGACAGGAGGATGTGCCAGCTACTGATGATGATTGGGTTGAGTAACTCCTAAAATTACCAGTGGCACTATTTCCATCAAAAAGACGTGCACAAAGATCCGGAAAAGGCATTGGAATTTTTCTCAAAGAAGCAGCTTTCAGATGCCCCTAAATCCAAATGTAATAAGAAATAGTATAAGAATATTTGGCAACTTCAAACGTAAATGTTATATATATATATATATATATATATATATATATGTATTATTGTATATTAATATATATGTACCTTCTTAAAATCATCCCACTCCTCGGCTGTTAAATTAAAAGTGTTTGTTTGAGAATGGTATATATTATTGGTTTTGTTTTTTAAATATACCTATCCAGTGTATTTGGCTTTCAGATTGTCATATGTGTTTTTCATTTGTTTTTGAGTCAACTCAACCCCAAATTTCTCCTTAAGAACTCTTCCAAGCCTTATCCATGAATCTTTCTGCAAACTCAATCCTTTTCTACCAACACTCTCTACTTCTTCAATACAAGTATCCAATAAGCATTTTAAATGCTCATTGGTCCATTGTTGTTTTTCTCCCATTTCTAATAACCAATATAACATAGACAAATATGATTTCATAAGGTATTACATATCATACACATTCTAACAAAAAAAATAACGATTTGAGACAATAAAAAGTATTAACAAAACCAAATAACAATAAACAGTCAACAACTAACATCATTATTTCACAACATTATTTCAAGAAAAAGCTTGATTTCAGCACATTCTAGGCAAATTATATAAGCCACAAATCGAAAAAGGGCTACCTATTTAGGGAATTGAAAGGGTAAGTTTATAATTTTGTTTTATTTTCAATGATAATAATGTGTAATTTTGTTTTATTTTCACAACATTATTTCAATAAATTTTGTTTTAGTAAACTTTTTATTTTCACGGCAAATTTGTAATTTTGTTTTATTTTCAATCATAATAATGTGAAACTTTTTATTCAATTATAAATAACCTCAATTAGAGTGTTTTAATTCAAAGTTTTCTAAAAAACTTTATAAATCAAAATCATTAGTACCAACACACATCCAAACAGCTCGTGAGTTTTCCATTTTACTTCTATCAAATAAACAAAACTTATGACTCGTTTTGATGCTTTCTATCATATACATATACACAATCAACAATCATATACATATACACTATCATATACATTTACACAATCAATAATCATATACATATACACAATCAAAAATCATATACACATAAACAATCACAATCAGCAATCATATACATATACACTATCATATACATATACACAATCAATAATCATATACATATACACAATCAAAAACCATATACACATAAACAATCACAATCAACAAGAGGATATGTTATCTTTTTCTTGACAGTTATGTATATTGGCTTCCAATCAAAGAAAAAGTATAAATCCAATTTGTTTACAGGTAAGATTTTCAATTTGCTGGGAATTTGGCTTTCAATTTTACAAGAATATATGATAGATTATACACCTCCAAGATTTTCTGTGAAACAAGGATGGAATCAAACAAGAAATTGAACAAGGATGTGAATCAAACAAGAAATTGAACAAGGATGTGAATCAAACAAGTTGAATATAATTGAAATCGACAGCGAGAGGAGGTGATGACAAACCTGATAAATTGCTCGTGGATATCGCTCGCTGCTAGAAGATGGAGTAAATCAAACAAGTTGAATTGAAATTGAAATCGCAACCCTTGCTATTCGCTCGCTGCTGCAATCGACGGTGATGGTCGCTGCAATCGGAGGATGCCGGATCGGAGAGGAGGGCGGTGACCGGTGGTTTTGATTGGAGGTGACGAGCCGAGATGAAGGTTGTTGGAAGATGGAGTCATCGAGGGTTTTTTCTTGGAGGTTGGACGACGAATGGAGGCAAAAACCAAAAAAAAAACGTCAAAGGCATTGCAGAATTTAGAAGAGGCTATCCCATATCTGTGTGGTGAAGACCTATTGCAGACGTTTTTATGTCTGCGCACTTCAGAAAAACAAACGGAATGCAAACCATTATGTATGCGCATGGTCTGCGCCTTGCAGACAGAAGAGGTCACACAGACCTGCAGAGAAAAAACAAACACCCTCTAAGAACATTATGAGTTTTAAGCTTAGATTCAGATGTTTTACCAGTATAACAAGCTTATTGATGGGGTGATTCACGTTCTTGAGGCCCTTAGAGTGTTCTTTGAACGAGATTTTTAGAGAGAGAAAGTAGAGAGAGAAGTAGAGTGCAGCCAAAGAAGGAAAGAATGAATGAAGGGGGTCTTCCTCTATATATAGAGGTGAGTGTGTGGCTGGAAACGGGTGTGCGGCTGCACACACCTATGTGTGGCCATACACTCACGTGTGTGGCCGCACACTCCATGTTTTGGAGTGCTTGGCCCTATTTTTCTTGATATGCATTGTGTTACGTTTAGAACGCTCCAATAGACCCCAAACAGTGTTGAAAGCTAACAAAATGAGTCTAACTTGGATTCAATTGGTCTCTTGTACAAGAAAGGAAATTTCGGGTTGTCACAGAATTTGACAATGCGGAAAACTCTAAGGAATGATGTGTCGTCACGCCGGGACCTTCCCTGTTGTACCGGAAGTACCTGAAACCATAAGCATAAATTATAAGCATAAAGCTTAGTGAGTTTCCCAAAATGCCTCATAACGTATATAGATAACAGTCAAAACATATATAAGTCTATTTCACCCTCTTCAGTCTCTTTCAACCGATATTTTGTGTATTTCAACCCCTTCAGTCTCTTTCAACCAATGTCGAGTTTATTTCACCCCTACAACTAGCATATAGTCATAATAGTAAGATTCATAGAGACAACAAACATATATAGGCAATATAGGAAATATAGGAAATTGCCACAAAGAGAATTATTATCCTACCAACATAATCTAGTAGGCCAACATTGATGCCTTTAACCCATGAGTATAGTCAAGGAACTTACCTCATAGTCAGACGAAATAGCAGTAGCCACACGCTACTACGAATACCAACTCTACCAATCACCTTTATAGTAACCAATGACCAAAACTATGATATTGGCTAAAAATACCCATTTTACCCTTAGTTCAAAATTTGTTTAAAATCCTGGTCAAAATCAAAAGTCAAAAGTCAAGCCAGCTAATTGGTTTGTTGCGGTCTCTATGGCCATGTTGTGGCTCCAACTCGACAAATCAAGCGAGTCTTGATCAAGTCACCATATCGTGTGATCTTAACCACATTGTAGTGATGCGTCTGGACAACTAAACCATTAAGTTTTTCTTTTCCATCTACAACAACTCCAAGGCTGAACTGTATTCCTTCCCATGGTCTTGATGGATAAAAGTTTCCAACTTTATCCCTCAACTCCTTTCATAAGCCAAACTCCCAAGCCTAATCACTAATAGTGACTTAATGCATCAAGATTCTCAGTAAGTATCAAATCCTTAGAGTTTCACCTCAAAAGTTTCTAGAAATGATTCACGCTCCAAAGTGACCATAAAAATCTTGGCTTTATGTACTTAAATGTTCAAAACATCCCATTTTTATTTTAGGTTAAAAATTGGCTTTACTGACTAAAATCCCATGCGTAACATCAAAACTTGATTATAATCAAGATCCAAGGCACTACTTGTTCATTATGACCTGGAGATGAATAAAGTTGCAATCGTTGTGAGATATCATCACTTAAGTCCATCTACTTGATGGAAAAAAGGAACCAAAACAGGAGATCAACCAACATGGAAAGAAAAGGTTGAGTCTTGGGCACTCACCAATGACCAAGAGATGAGCTTAGTTGAAGAAATTATGCCTACCATGAAACCACCTCACCAAAAGCATCATTCTCATTCTAAAATCACCAAAAAGCACAAAGCATTAACTCACAACTTTAGTGGAGGCTAGGGTTAGGGTTTCTGAGGTTAAAGGTGATTTGGAAGCTGAGAATGAACCCTAAAATGGGTTTAGAGAGGTTTAAATATGAAAGGATGTCACACCCCCAAACCGAAATGGCGGAAACGTTCGAAGGTGGATGACATCATGTACAGTATGACAATAATTGAATAATAGTAATCAAAGCAACAACCATTGTATTTATAATATAAAGTTAACATTATAATTTTAACATTGTTTGTATGAACCCAAAAGTGTATAGCAAAAACTGTTAGAGATGACACCATGATGCTTCGTCTTCCCAAAGACCTGTAAGTGTACATGTCTATTGGTTCCCTGAGAATACAAGTAATTTTGAAAAGGTATCAACATTTAAGTTGGTGAGTTCATATGGATTTTGTTTTAGTAATCTACCTTTGTTTCTTAAAAATGTTAGTATGTTCCTCCAGAAAATCCAATATTTTATTTTGTAAATGAAATGTATTCTTAGGCCTTAAGACCAAAATGTATGTTTGTTAACGTAATTTGAAATAGTATAGTGTAGTCTTATTATTAAATTAAACCATATAAATGAATACTTCCCAGTAATGTATGTTGTACTGTATTAGTAAAACACTGCACTATTGTAATTGTTTGAAAACCCTTTTGTTTGTATGTTCCTACAATCCACCAGTTTTACTGTATAGTAGTGTACTGTAATGTATTTCTATTATTAAACCAAAACCATTGAAGTTATGTTTGTCCCATAAACCAAAATGTTTAGTTAATGCTTATTGTCAATGATATTATAACCATGCTAAAATGTCTAGTGGCATGCACAACGTTCATCAGGCATCAGAATGTTATGACTTTGTAACCCACACCTGCTGGTCTAACTGTACCTAATAGTTTAGGTGCGGGTTGTTAGTCCCATATGGATCTATAAACAAATTCACGCTTTCCCTCCAGGAGACTCTGGTTATAATTCAGGAATTTAGCGTGTACACTAGAAGGTGTGATGAAGTAGTGGCTCACAATCCTATATTAACTTGTTTACGTATAATATGTAAATGTTCTCTTGTCCTTGTAAATGTATGTATACCTCTTTTGTAGTGTACTCGTAGTGTAAAATAGTTATACATAAATAATTACTTTAGTGTTGTATCTTTGAACTTAGTAAAATAGTGTATGAGTTCCATAAATTATACCCATTATAAT